TAGATAGATAGATAGATAGATAGATAGATAGATAGATAGATAGATAGATTCAAGAGTATTATCTAGACATGCTCTATGTGTAAAGTGCCCTGAGATGACTTTTGTTGTGATTTGGCACTATATAAATAAAATTGAATCTAAAAAAATAGATAATCAATGAAGTAACGTTGCTGTGCCTCGTGCGTAAATGTGCATATACTTAGCGTATCTGGAGATTTAAATAATCAATGAAGTTACTGCTTCACACTTTTTATTCCCCTGTACAGTGTTTCCCTGCAGAGCTACAGTGGAAGGATCATAACAAAAAATACAAATGACTGTAACGTTAAAAGATATCTGCCTGAGGTTATTAAATACCTGCAGCGAGAACCCCACCCCACCCCCCACCCCGCAGCAGAAACAATAAGCGCGTTTCCCCATAAAGAGAGACGCTGTGCGCATTTACGCATGAGGCACAGCAGCGTCCCTTTTATTATTAATATTATTATTATTTATTATTTATCTGTCTATGCAGTAAGGGCACATAATATTGATTTAACAATAAAGCCCAAACACAAGTTAATTACTGGTTGTGGTCTAATTTCTACTCCAATTGCCCATTTGAAGAAGAAAATGGAAAAAGCACGTGGATTTCCTTTTTTTTTTAAATTCACACGGAAAAACAAAATAATGCATTTAATATTTGTTTATCTTCTTATAAAACAAGCAAGTTGAACACAGCTGTGGACGGAGGGGACACGCACCGTAACATATGCTCAGTTTGCATCAGTCATTTATTCATTTGAGAGTTGTTGTTTACTACTTGGGATTCAGATGGGTGAGTGTGAGCAAACATTCTCAATGTGACAATTTCGTTTCAGTTTGTGGCTGGTTGTGGCCTATATTCCTTTTTTTAATTCAATTCCAACCTTAGTAATTAAACAATATCTTTCACCGTGTTGTCCACATTTATATATCCTGCATGAAACAACATGATGAGAACGTACGTACGTGCTGTGAGGCAACAGGGCCAACCACTGTGCCACCGTGCCGCCTGTATAAAAATGCTCTCAAGCATTTTAGAAATTATTGTGGGCACACTGCTATCCACATATTACACATGCTCAGTATTTTGTGCAGTGAATTTGTTGGTAGATAAAAAAAATCCCATCATTCCATTCACAATTAGTACATCTCCAGTGAAATGTGATCCCATCAGCTGCTTTACCTTGTGCACTGTAATTTAGTTCTTTTTGCGTCTTCTTACATTGTTGGCTGCTGCTTTTTAATTGTGCATGTTTCCAGATGGTTCTGGTAATCCATGGTTTCTGGTTGTGGAATAATTTCACCATCCACACATCCTGGCCTCAACAAGACAGCCGCATGGTCACTCCTCCCGAACACTGTCGGCAGTGATCCACAGCAGGATCGGGACAGCAGCTCACAGTCCCACTGACACACCAGTCCTTGTTCACCATGGAACACACTAGGGCATTAATGACTTTTATTTTTTTCAGGTCGACTTATCTGTCAATAAAGTTGAGTGGAGTCGACAAGTCATTTGATGAAGTCATCACATTGACACGGTGGAGGAAAGTGAAGTATCTCCACACGTGATGTGTGTCTGTCAAGGCCCGAACATACTTGGGCGGAACGTACGCGGAATGGACTCTGCGGATGTCCGCGCGGACCAAAGCGGATGTCCGCAAGCCCTGTGCGCGCAAAGCTCAGATTTTACGACCGCGTGGACTCCGCTCCGCACACCAGTGACTGCTCGGCATGTATTTTTCACATCGCAGGGATTTTTCACGGACATTTTTACAGGAAACTACAACGCCAAAGTGCGCTCAAGTATGAAAGCCCGAATGACTGCGGACATTCCTCGCGGAGTCTGCTCCACTTACAGTACGCCGTCAAGGATAAAGTATCAGCGTAATCAGAGGCAGTGATTGTATTCCGTACACAAGCACACACAGAGAGAGAGAGGGAAAAAACACACGACTTGTCGACTCCTCCCGGGGGGTGTCGACTTGTGCCACTGACGTCGGCACGTCGACAAATCAACTTTTCTGTTAATGCCCTAGAAGACACGCCTCCTCTCCTTCTCTTGCCTGAGTCTTCTGCTCCGTCACAATTGGTGTACACAATAAGAGTCACCTGGTGAAATGGCGCTGTCAGGGATCAGCCAAGTTTTGGTGAACATCCTGATGCGTCACAGAGGTCGTCCAGTTTATTTCCAGCATCTGTACAATGGCTAGCAGGATGCTAGTTCGGCTGGTGCTCATTCTCCATCTTTTCCTCGATGTTTACTGATGTTTACATTTGAGAACCTTGACCTGGCTAGCTAGCAGCTAGCTAGCCAGCAGAGGAGAGTTTACAGACTGGTGAGTTGATGCTCATCATCGTGATGACAGACTCACAGCCACACACCATCATTGTCCAAAGCCAACCACAAAAAGCACCACCAACACGCTGACAGAGAGGCGACTGGAAGCGTCCGTGCTTAACTTGTGGATTTAATTAGTCTGAGCAAGAGCACAAGACTAGTGATGCTTATTCTCATTTAATATTAATGCACTGCCTTATCTTTATTTTGTACAGTCATTTTGTCATTTATTTTTTTTTGTGTGAAACTTTGAATCCAAGCTATTCCAAAGAGCAGCACAAGTATATTTGAGCTTCTTATAGTGCAGCTTTAAAGTCAGCATCTTTTATAGAGTTAGATAAGATAGATCCAGGATGGTCATTAAAAATTATTTTAATATACAGTATGTAACAATTTGCTATCAAGCAACATATTTTATTACATGTTCATATTTTCCTTTTGTCTTAAAAATATATTTATATCTGCTGTACATATTTTATTTTCCCCTTAATGGATTTGATATTTTTTGTTTTTAATATTGTTTTTTTTAGCATTCTATGCATCAATAAAGTTAAAAGCTAATTTATTTTTATTTTTTTAACTGGACATCTGAACTGGATAAAGATCCCATATTAGCCTTCTGGCACTATCAATCTTGGCAAAAGCCATAAAGTGGACTTGGTGTTGGTTTTCAGGAACTATTTCTTTGGTTGAAAGAGTTCCAACCAGAACTGTTCTGTGATCTGTGGATTATCTAGAGTTACTGAGACATCTGCTCAGCAAAGACATATTGCTGTGTGGCTCCATTTATTCAAATTCAGTTCACCTATATCGCATTAAGGTAAAGGCAGATATCAGACACAGAACAGCCCTGTGGGTCTATGTCTACATTTTAAAGGAGAAGTACACCCATTTTAAAAATCCATACGTCATTCCTACGGTTTCAGACAGTCCAGAAATATTACTAAACATAAACAACTCTCCCAAATCCAAAAACTGGATTGCTGAAACTCAGATTTTTGATATAAAGTACAAAGTCTGAAGCTGCTCCATAGACAGTGAACTGGTAAAGGTGTTCTAGATGACACTGAGGGCACAGATACAGAGGAATGTTCTGAGTATATGGGTACATTTTCTGTCTCACAACTGAGAACACTACAATATAATAAACCTCATTTAAGTATAAAAAAGAAAAACATTCTGTGGGTCCACAAAATCAGACTCCCATTCATTGTCTATGGAGCAGTTTCAGAATTTACACTTGGTGACATCACAATTTTGAGACTTGTGTCACTGATTTATAGCTTTGAGAGAGAAGCAGCTCATGTTCACAAATATTCATTGAACTTTCCTAGGCCTTGGAAGTAACATATTGGAGTTATTAATTAAGGGGTGTCCCCCTTTGAACTAAACGTACATCTGCTGCTATACTAGAGAGTACAATTTGAACAATTATCTTAAACAGAACAAAACAATTTTTGTTATTTGAAGCATTAAACAATGTCTCACATGAGTCCTAGCTATTGGCACACAGTTAACTGTCAGAGGGGGCAGGGCTTCAGCTCTCGTCATGTTCGCTTCCGAAGATGAGACTATTTCTGTTCTGCTAGAGTGAATTCACTTACTATGGGTGATGTCGTGACCAAAGTTGAAACCAGAATTTCAACATAAAGGGACGACATTTAAAGTTTCTGTACTAGAGCGAGGGAATACTTTTCTCTGCAGTACTGCCGTTCAACTTTTTGATTTGAGCTGAAGAATGAACATTTTTTGAAGGAGTTTTTCCAGCGTGGTGAGAGAACCCATGGATTAAAGACGTGAGTATGACACCTGTAATGTCAGCTGTCCACTTGAAACTGTATGCTGTGGACAGGTAGGCAGTTTATTCATTCATTATTCATTCATTCTTCTTGACTTGAACTATTTTATACAGCAGGCGTCATAGTAGCACTAAGAATTATTGACCCTTTGAGAGGCAGCAGTAGCCCACAGGATGATCATATCTGTATCAGGAAGGAAATTGAAATGTTTATCTCTTTCCATTATGAGATGATTTCTATTTAATAAAACATATATACACCTATGGGCAAAAATATGCCTCAGTCAAACCAGTGTAGTTGTGTGAGCGTCATGTAAAAGGAAAGGAAGTACAAACCACATAAACTCAGAAGAAGAAGTTGGAGAAAACTTCTGATCCAGTATTTATATGTAATGCATCTTCTGTTTCTTTACAGTTCCGTATTTTTCTTCATATGTTGCAAGCTTCTTTTTTTTTTTTTTGTCTTTACACAGTGTAAAAGCATTTCTAAGAAGCAGAGTAACTGAGTAACAGTACTGGATGTGAGGATGGGACACACTCTGCTCTGTGGGCTGGGGGTTTTCTGTGAGTACATACAGTAGATACAACTTTTTAAATGCCTGAGTGTATTTTATATTTGATAGTTTCTGTCAGTCTGATAATCTCTGATGAAGTTTCAAACTTTATTTTAGCCCTGAGTCTACTTCTCTACTGTGGACATGCTCAAGGTAATTATATAGTTCTCTATTTCTTTCTCTTTATATGTTCACTTAAGACAAATATCCACCAAATGTATCACTTTTCATCTCATCCTAATTCTGTGTTCTGTTTTGTCAAAAGAAAACACATTGACATTTTACATATTATGTTGGTTTCTAGATGCTGTGCTGACCATTGAACCAAACTGGTCCACTTTATTTACCGGAGAGTCTGTTACCTTCATATGTAACATGAGGGTGGGAAAAGACACCGACTGGTATTATACAATCCACAGGGATGGTCGAGTATTTCTCCCCTTCGGCTCAGATAAGAGATATACATCACGATCTCTATCTAAAGGCCACAGTGGTGAATACCAGTGCATTGGTAATCACAAGCCCTCAGCACATTCTAGAAAACAAAGTAATAAAGTCTCTCTAACTGTATCAGGTAAGTGATAAGTTTTACTACCATGACCAAGTTCACTATAAGCATTTATTTATTTATTTATTTATTTATTTTTTATCAGCCATGTTGATATGATCAACCTGTTTGGCATAGTGCTAATACATAGTGTATAAATATTAATCTTGTTTATAAACTAGTTTTAGATTCAGAAACCTTAAAGTGGAGATAAAACACTTAACGATCCAATCACAATGAATTCACAAATTCAATCTTGAATACATCAACTGCTGGAATATTATATTCAGATATTTCAGATCACTTTCCGATTTTCTATTGCACCAGTACAGATGAAAACCAAAAGAATAATAAAGTTGTCACAGAAACATATAGAATATTCAATGCAAATAACAGATATAAGTTTAAAAATATGTTGAAGAAGATATCTCATGAAAGGGTATATGCTGAGAGTGATGCAAATTTAGCTTATCAAATATTTATGAAATCATTCAACTCAGCTTTCTTAAAATGTTTTCCTTTAGTAAATTGCAAGAAAAGAGTGGGTTCTGATATCAATAAGGCTTGGTTTACTGTTGGTTTGGAAAAGTCATCCAAAAATAAAAATAAACTCTATAAAAAATTCTTATTATGTCCTACACCCCTAAATTTAGCAAATTATAAGATGTATAAAAACAAATACAACCATCTTATTCGAGCTGCAAGAAAACAGTTTTTTAGTGATCAGTTTATGAACTGTGCAAGCAACATCAAAGCTACCTGGAAGGCTTTAAATCAAATATTACAAAAGGCAAAAAAATAATCAAATTTTCTTTCTAGTTTTTCTGATGGGAATACACCCATCACAAATCAATTTGATATTGCTTGCAAGTTTAAAGCGTTCTTTGCAAATGTAGGAGTTTCTATTTCCAAAAACATTGATAAAACTCAAGACGAACCAACTGATTATATAAAAGGTTGCTTTCCATCTATCAATCACTTTGAACCTCCTGACTATAAGGAAATTAATGATGTGATAATGGAGTTAAAAAAATCTTCTCCAGGTCATGATGAAGTTACTGCCTCCCTTGTTAAGGAGGTATCAAGCTCTATAATGAAACCATTAATACATATTTTCACTGCATCCTTGGAAAATGGTATTGTTCCCTCTGATCTTAAACTGGCAAAGGTTATACCAATTTTTAAAAAGGGTGATAAAGGTTCCTTTACAAATTACCGTCCTATTTCTGTTCTCCCATGCTTTTCAAAAATCTTGGAAAAGTTAGTGAATAACCGTATCCTAAAACATTTGAACTTAAATAAAATTTTATATCAGCACCAATATGGATTTCGCAAAAATCATTCAGCCTGTATGGCCTTATTACATCTAATCGACAACATCCATACTGCTCTGGAAAAGAGAGAGTTTACATGTGGTATTTTCATAGATCTCTCCAAAGCATTTGATGTTGTGGATCATGAAATTCTCCTTGCAAAATTGTACAGATATGGATTTCATGGTACTGTATGGAAGTGGCTTAGTAATTATGTTCGTAATAGAAAACAATATGTATTTATTAATGGTACAGAATCCACAAAAGCTAAGATACAGTGTGGGGTGCCACAAGGCTCTATCTTGGGACCCTTACTGTATCTTATCTATATTAACGATCTTGCAGCAGTATCAAACACTTTATGTCCCATATTGTTTGCAGATGACACTAATTTACTTGTATCTAATAAAAATATATCTGTACTCATTAATGAAGTTAATAGTAGCCTTTTAGAATACTCAAAATGGTTTAAGACTAATAAATTGGCACTAAATGTGAAGAAGTCTAATTTTATGATATTTGCAGGGAAGAAGTATTATGATACGAAGTTAATGAAATTGTCTATTGATGGTGAGGGAATAACTAAAGTTACATCCACAAGATTTCTTGGGATCTTAATTGATGAAAAACTGTCTTGGAAAGAACACATTAGTTTTGTTTGCAATAATAACTTTATATCACAGCCTAATATATCCTTATCTCACTTACTGAAACATTGTATGGGCTAGTACCTGTCCCACATACCTTCACAGAATACCACTGCTGCAAAAACGTTTTTTAAGAATAGCAACTTCTTCCAAGTCTTATGATGCATCCTCTCCACTGTTCTCGAAATGTAATATTTTGGTTATTAATGATATCAACACTTTACAAATATGCACCTTTATCTACAAAGTGAAATTCATGGGTACAAAATTGCCAAATATCTTTCAAAAATATTTTATTTGTAATTCTCAAATCCATTTTTACACAACCAGACAAATTAATAACCTTTATTTACCTAAGTTTAATACATCTCGAGCACAGTACTCATTAAGATACAGGGGAGTACAATTGTGGAACATGTACCATTACTTATTATCTGCCTCTATGTCTTTGTCAGTATATAAGACAAAACTAAAAACTGCTTTGATGACCAAAAGATTCTATAACTGAATAACGTCATCTATAGGGTGATATGTTTTTGCCTGCCTCAAGAAGTAAAATGTTATTTTCTATTTTTATTCTTATTATAATCAATTGTCCACTTTTGTTTATTGTTTGTTATCGTGTATGATTTGTTTTTTTCATTATTTTTTGCATAGTTTTGTTATGTTTGTCTAGGTGAGGTTTCTTAACATAAGCCTGTAATGGGTTTCTACCTCACCTGCACATGCTATGTATGACTATATTACTTCTATGTTCTGTTTTCTTATTTCATATGTGCAAATAAATGAAATAAATAAATCAAATAAAAACGACATAGGCATTTCCCATTTATGGATTTTGTGCCTCCTCGGCCCTTCGCTTTGTGACCTGGAAATCAATCTTCGTGTTCCATCTCGCAGGGAGTCCCAATTCCTAAAATACATCTTGAGAAGCTAGGAGTGAGGAGGCTTGCTGGAAAAGCTAAATAGAAATATTTCTATAAAAAGTAGCCTTATCTATCTAGCTCTCTATCTATCTATCTACCTACCCACCCCAACAACATTTGCAAGTCAAAGCTACAAGCAGTTTGATAAAAACAGACTGTGGTCAAAATAAAATGCAAATACAGGGATTTTATTCCCGTTTGAAAATTTGCAGCTGCACAACAGTTACACCTCCAAAACACTAGTCAGCGGAGTTTCTGTGAAGTACTGTAAAGTTTAGTTGATTCAAAACACACATTAAACATGGCTTAATAGCGACAATTTCAAACACAAGTACACAAATTAGCTTCACTATAACTCGCAGCACTCACAGACAAACACTTGTCTTTATCCGGACACATTTTCCCCACAAATCCAACATGCTAATGTTATTAGCACAAGCCTATGGCATTTAACATTGTATAAATTAGCCTTGTGGCCAGCTGACTTTTATCTATTCATATGAAAACGGGGTCAACAACAACAAGGGAAATGTTACAAAATTCGGCTCCATTACAACTCACAGGGTTCACTGACAAAACAACTGTCTTATACTAAACACGTTTCCCAAAAAATACAACATTCTAACATTATTAGCACAAGCCTATGGCATTTAACATTGTATAAATTAGCCTTGTGGCCAGCTGACTTTTATCTATTCATATGAAAACGGGGTCAACAACAACAAGGGAAATGTTACAAAATTCGGCTCCATTACAACTCACAGGGTTCACTGACAAAACAACTGTCTTATACTAAACACGTTTCCCAAAAAATACAACATTCTAACATTATTAGCACAAGCCTATGGCATTTAACATTGTATAAATTAGCCTTGTGGCCAGCTGACTTTTATCTATTCATATGAAAACGGGGTCAACAACAACAAGGGAAATGTTACAAAATTCGGCTCCATTACAACTCACAGGGTTCACTGACAAAACAACTGTCTTATACTAAACACGTTTCCCAAAAAATACAACATTCTAACATTATTAGCACAAGCCTATGGCATTTAACATTGTATAAATTAGCCTTGTGGCCAGCTGACTTTTATCTATTCATATGAAAACGGGGTCAACAACAACAAGGGAAATGTTACAAAATTCGGCTCCATTACAACTCACAGGGTTCACTGACAAAACAACTGTCTTATACTAAACACGTTTCCCAAAAAATACAACATTCTAACATTATTAGCACAAGCCTATGGCATTTAACATTGTATAAATTAGCCTTGTGGCCAGCTGACTTTTATCTATTCATATGAAAACGGGGTCAACAACAACAAGGGAAATGTTACAAAATTCGGCTCCATTACAACTCACAGGGTTCACTGACAAAACAACTGTCTTATACTAAACACGTTTCCCAAAAAATACAACATTCTAACATTATTAGCACAAGCCTATGGCATTTAACATTGTATAAATTAGCCTTGTGGCCAGCTGACTTTTATCTATTCATATGAAAACGGGGTCAACAACAACAAGGGAAATGTTACAAAATTCGGCTCCATTACAACTCACAGGGTTCACTGACAAAACAACTGTCTTATACTAAACACGTTTCCCAAAAAATACAACATTCTAACATTATTAGCACAAGCCTATGGCATTTAACATTGTATAAATTAGCCTTGTGGCCAGCTGACTTTTATCTATTCATATGAAAACGGGGTCAACAACAACAAGGGAAATGTTACAAAATTCGGCTCCATTACAACTCACAGGGTTCACTGACAAAACAACTGTCTTATACTAAACACGTTTCCCAAAAAATACAACATTCTAACATTATTAGCACAAGCCTATGGCATTTAACATTGTATAAATTAGCCTTGTGGCCAGCTGACTTTTATCTATTCATATGAAAACGGGGTCAACAACAACAAGGGAAATGTTACAAAATTCGGCTCCATTACAACTCACAGGGTTCACTGACAAAACAACTGTCTTATACTAAACACGTTTCCCAAAAAATACAACATTCTAACATTATTAGCACAAGCCTATGGCATTTAACATTGTATAAATTAGCCTTGTGGCCAGCTGACTTTTATCTATTCATATGAAAACGGGGTCAACAACAACAAGGGAAATGTTACAAAATTCGGCTCCATTACAACTCACAGGGTTCACTGACAAAACAACTGTCTTATACTAAACACGTTTCCCAAAAAATACAACATTCTAACATTATTAGCACAAGCCTATGGCATTTAACATTGTATAAATTAGCCTTGTGGCCAGCTGACTTTTATCTATTCATATGAAAACGGGGTCAACAACAACAAGGGAAATGTTACAAAATTCGGCTCCATTACAACTCACAGGGTTCACTGACAAAACAACTGTCTTATACTAAACACGTTTCCCAAAAAATACAACATTCTAACATTATTAGCACAAGCCTATGGCATTTAACATTGTATAAATTAGCCTTGTGGCCAGCTGACTTTTATCTATTCATATGAAAACGGGGTCAACAACAACAAGGGAAATGTTACAAAATTCGGCTCCATTACAACTCACAGGGTTCACTGACAAAACAACTGTCTTATACTAAACACGTTTCCCAAAAAATACAACATTCTAACATTATTAGCACAAGCCTATGGCATTTAACATTGTATAAATTAGCCTTGTGGCCAGCTGACTTTTATCTATTCATATGAAAACGGGGTCAACAACAACAAGGGAAATGTTACAAAATTCGGCTCCATTACAACTCACAGGGTTCACTGACAAAACAACTGTCTTATACTAAACACGTTTCCCAAAAAATACAACATTCTAACATTATTAGCACAAGCCTATGGCATTTAACATTGTATAAATTAGCCTTGTGGCCAGCTGACTTTTATCTATTCATATGAAAACGGGGTCAACAACAACAAGGGAAATGTTACAAAATTCGGCTCCATTACAACTCACAGGGTTCACTGACAAAACAACTGTCTTATACTAAACACGTTTCCCAAAAAATACAACATTCTAACATTATTAGCACAAGCCTATGGCATTTAACATTGTATAAATTAGCCTTGTGGCCAGCTGACTTTTATCTATTCATATGAAAACGGGGTCAACAACAACAAGGGAAATGTTACAAAATTCGGCTCCATTACAACTCACAGGGTTCACTGACAAAACAACTGTCTTATACTAAACACGTTTCCCAAAAAATACAACATTCTAACATTATTAGCACAAGCCTATGGCATTTAACATTGTATAAATTAGCCTTGTGGCCAGCTGACTTTTATCTATTCATATGAAAACGGGGTCAACAACAACAAGGGAAATGTTACAAAATTCGGCTCCATTACAACTCACAGGGTTCACTGACAAAACAACTGTCTTATACTAAACACGTTTCCCAAAAAATACAACATTCTAACATTATTAGCACAAGCCTATGGCATTTAACATTGTATAAATTAGCCTTGTGGCCAGCTGACTTTTATCTATTCATATGAAAACGGGGTCAACAACAACAAGGGAAATGTTACAAAATTCGGCTCCATTACAACTCACAGGGTTCACTGACAAAACAACTGTCTTATACTAAACACGTTTCCCAAAAAATACAACATTCTAACATTATTAGCACAAGCCTATGGCATTTAACATTGTATAAATTAGCCTTGTGGCCAGCTGACTTTTATCTATTCATATGAAAACGGGGTCAACAACAACAAGGGAAATGTTACAAAATTCGGCTCCATTACAACTCACAGGGTTCACTGACAAAACAACTGTCTTATACTAAACACGTTTCCCAAAAAATACAACATTCTAACATTATTAGCACAAGCCTATGGCATTTAACATTGTATAAATTAGCCTTGTGGCCAGCTGACTTTTATCTATTCATATGAAAACGGGGTCAACAACAACAAGGGAAATGTTACAAAATTCGGCTCCATTACAACTCACAGGGTTCACTGACAAAACAACTGTCTTATACTAAACACGTTTCCCAAAAAATACAACATTCTAACATTATTAGCACAAGCCTATGGCATTTAACATTGTATAAATTAGCCTTGTGGCCAGCTGACTTTTATCTATTCATATGAAAACGGGGTCAACAACAACAAGGGAAATGTTACAAAATTCGGCTCCATTACAACTCACAGGGTTCACTGACAAAACAACTGTCTTATACTAAACACGTTTCCCAAAAAATACAACATTCTAACATTATTAGCACAAGCCTATGGCATTTAACATTGTATAAATTAGCCTTGTGGCCAGCTGACTTTTATCTATTCATATGAAAACGGGGTCAACAACAACAAGGGAAATGTTACAAAATTCGGCTCCATTACAACTCACAGGGTTCACTGACAAAACAACTGTCTTATACTAAACACGTTTCCCAAAAAATACAACATTCTAACATTATTAGCACAAGCCTATGGCATTTAACATTGTATAAATTAGCCTTGTGGCCAGCTGACTTTTATCTATTCATATGAAAACGGGGTCAACAACAACAAGGGAAATGTTACAAAATTCGGCTCCATTACAACTCACAGGGTTCACTGACAAAACAACTGTCTTATACTAAACACGTTTCCCAAAAAATACAACATTCTAACATTATTAGCACAAGCCTATGGCATTTTACATTTTATAAATTAGTGGAGATTTCCTCTGTTCATATGAAGTCAGGATAAATCACACACAAGACTTAAAATGCTATTTTGTGGAGGCTGTATTGTCTTCACAATTTATTGTTTCTTATCTGTGAAATAAGAGTAAATAAAAGCTTCGTTTCAGCTTACAGTAATAGACAGGAGGTCTGCGTTGCCGTGACGTGTAGTTATGTTTCTGAGGAGGTGCAGGTCAGGCTACGGCTCTAAAAAGTGTTGCTTGAGACCTTTTGAGTGTGTGAGTGGGGCAGAGCTGTGCCGAGAGTTTGAGAGAGGAGAGACACACACTGGTATGCGTCATGTAACACGACTTGACCCTTTTTCGATATAAACAGTGTTGTCTTAATTTTTATCTTGCTTGAAAATAAATCGATATATTGTACATAGTTGTTGTATCACCCAGCACTAGGTTCATATAGTGAGTGGCATAATTTAAAGCTGTGTTAGAAACTGCCCTGATTGGTTGTTTCTGCCACTCTGTGGTCCGACTCTAGCAATTGCCATTAGTGACAGTGGAAAGAGGAGCAGGGACATGAGTTATTTCTCAGATTATCTGTCTCATGTACTTGTTTTAGAACATTGTGATAATTTCAGTAAATATGACACAAAAATATTTTCATGAAAGTTTCCAAGTGTAGCTTTAAATTCAGAAGGTTACAACATAAATCAGGAATAATTTTTAACATTTTTTTTTAAATGACATGTTTATTTAATTGATCTGATTTACTAAAAAAGGTATGACCTGTGGTCCACAGACAAAGATGTGATCCTGGAAAGTCCTGCGTCCACTGTGTTTGAAGGAGAATCAGTGACCCTGCGCTGTCGACATCGTACTCAGACAAAGGAGAAGAATGCTGTTTTCTACAAAGACGGATCACCTGTTGAAAGAGACACAAACCATCAGTCAGTGATGTCTTCAGAAAACACAGTTCAAGTCATTTCAAATGGGAGCTCTTACATGTGTAAATTTGAGGATGAAGAATCTGAACCAGTAAAACTCAAAATGGAACGTAAGTAGTTTTCATACTAGAGTCTCAAAATTTAAGGGCATTTTGCGATGAAGAGCAGCAGGCATGTACTTTAGCATTTCCAGAGTGAAGTGGAGTGATGATTTCTCTGCATTATCTCAGACACAGTGGACACTTAACAAAGGGAAAAAGAGAAAGCTGTGTTTAAATTGTCGTTCATTCTTAGAAGTGTGTTTGTGCTCACTTTAATCCACTTTAGGTTAATTTAACCAACAACTTTAGTGGTTAATAAATGTTTAACAGAAGCATTGTTGCAACTGATTTCCATCAGTTTACGATACTTTGGGGCGGCAGTAGCTCAGTCCATAGGGACTTGGGTTGGGAACCGGAGGGTCGCCTGTTCGAGTCCCCTTCCGGACCAAAAATATGGAGCGTGGACTGGTAGCTGGAGAGGTGCCAGTTCACCTCCTGGGCACTGCCGAGGTGCCCCTGAGCAAGGCACCGAACCCCCCAGCTGCTCGGAGCGCCTGGCAGCCCACTCTGACATCTCTCCACTTAGTGCATGTATAGGTCCAGTTTGTGCATGTGTGTGTTCGGACCTGTGTGTAATTGACAACAGAGTGAAAAATTGAATTTTCCTTCAGGGATTAATAAAGTATATAAAATTTAAATAATAATAATAATAATAATAATATATACTGATTTAAAAAGGTGATCAAAATAATGTGATATCATTTTCTACAGTAAGTCGTAGCACCACCAAGAATGCTGGATGAGATTATGTTATTAATTTTAATTATCTTTCAAACTGGACTGATTCACAGGGAAATAATGACCACTTTTATGTCTTTGTCTAAATTAAACAGCACAACCAAAGGCCAGACTGAGCAGACACTTTCCATCAGGGGGCAGTGTGATGCTGACCTGCTCTGTGAGCCCATCATCATCATCATCATCATCATCATCTGGTTGGAAATACTTCTGGTACAGAGGCAAGAAAACCTCTGAACCTCTGACCACACAAGATGTTGTCTTCCTCTCAAATGACACAATCAGTGTCTCACAGGGAGGACTCTACTGGTGCAGAGGAGGAAGAGGAGATCCACTTTACTACACAGAGTACAGTGATCCAGTCGGTAATATGATATGGAATATAAAATGCAATAAATAATACACTGTGTATTTTTGAATGAGGATTAAGACTAACACTAAAATGAGTTTGATGTTTAATCTTTTCTAATTTTTATATTTGTGGCCTCTTGATCATGAACAGTCACAAACAGAGCTGTTGTGACCCTGCGACCCAACTGGCCTGAGATATACTATCTGGAGACGATCACACTTACATGTGAAATTGAAGATGGAGGAGACGCTGAGTGGGAGTATGAATGGATGACACCCCGCTCATACAGACCTGAAAAACAAAAGGAAAACATGATTAGAAATGTGTTGTCATCATACAACAGAGACTACAGGTGTATGGGCACACTGAAACATGAAAAGTCTTCAACAGAGTGGAGTGATGCTTTCACATTGAGAGTATCTGATTGTAAGTCACATGTCATCAGTCGTCATTTTTGTTTTGCTGAATGTAAAAAAGAAATTATTGTTCCCTGTATTTTCAGACAGTGCACCTTTATATTTGAATTTGAATACAAGTCGTGGATGTCATCTACCAACAACACATTATAGCATGTCTTCATTCTGTGAAATCACTTTCCAACAGATAAACCTCAGCCTGTCCTCACTGTGTCTCCATTATGGCTGAGTCCTGGAGCCTCAGTAACTCTGAACTGCAGAGTTGAACATCCATCTGCAGGATGGAGGTTCTTCTGGTATAAGGCTGTTCCCAAACTGTCAGACGACTCCTACAGCTATGAGCTGATACCTGGCAGCATCAATGGGACTGAACAGGATTCCTACATTGTTGATGGACAGACACACACAGCAGGATATGTGTGCAGAGCTGGAAGAGGAGATCCAGTGTATTATACTCTTTACAGTGGACCTAAGTGTGTCTGGTCTGGAGGTAGGTTTAGTTTGAGTTTTTTTATGCTGACACAATAGTAGACATGCACTTGTTATGACTATTCCCTCACACCAACATCAAGGGCCGTATTAAACAACATTCTGAAAACACTCTCAGAGAGCTCCTAACAGCCTAAATACTTTTAGTAAGGAGTCCTAGCTTAGCAGTGATTTAGGAAAGTTCTCAGAGCAACTTTGAGCGAGGAAGGGACAGGAACTTTTACCTTAGTGAGAAGGTGTAATTGACATGGTTGCTAGGTATGATGCATTCTTTTAACAGATGTGATTGGTTTGAGCCTGCAAGGTGTGGACACCCAGTGGAAATGAAATGAACCACTGACTGTGAAAGTGTTGTTATTGATTAGTGTGATCACTCTGCTGATGGAAGGTTGAGACAGACTCAAGTCATCACTGCTGCACTGCTTCATTTTTCTAGTGCTTCAAATATCTTGCTATTGTGATCATTTTATGTCTGACGTTATAGCATTAATGTGTTGGATGGAAAATGTGTGCGTACCCTGAATGAGATCAACCACAAACATAATTCCTGCGCAATCTAATCTGTAGCACTTCATTAACTCACTGTCATCCAGTGTTTGGAGAATATTTCTCCTACCTCTTTGTGTTTCTGCCATTTTCTCCTCTGATTAAGAAACTCTTAAGTCTCTTAAAAGTCCTCCGCTTTACTCCTAACAGTTTTTCATCTTCGGAGCTCTTTGAAGCTCTACGATGATTTGTGAATAACTTTAATCTTTACGAGGACCTAGTCTTACCGTTAAGGACATTCTATGAAAACATCAGATACTGTCTTTTTCTTCTTTCCTTCCATCCATTTCTTCAGCTTCCCTTTCCTCTGTTCTTTTTTCCACTTTTATTTTGATGTACTTTCTTACTTTGCTCTATTTATGTTTGTTTGTTTCCTTCTTTCTGCCCCCCAAACCCTTCAATGCAGGGCTTTTAGGTGTAATGGGTTATTTGTCTGTTTTTGTGTTGCTGCTTTTATGTAATGGTTCCCTGTGGTACTTACATTTTATTATACACCTGTATTGGTGTGATCCTTTGCGTTTGAACTCCAGCATTTAAACACATTAAAATACAGTTAAACCAACTGATTGTTGTCAGTGTGGCCTTTTTTTTCATTCTTTGTTTGTCTGCTTTTTATGTGTTTTTAGATTCTCATTCAGCAGCGTCTCTCACAGTGAGTCCTGACAGAATGCAACACTTCAGCAGAGAGCCTGTGTCACTGAGCTGTGAGGGAAACTCTACTGAGTGGAGAGTGAGCAGGTTTTCTGTAGATGGCTACCTGGGACACTGTTCTTCTTCTTCCTCTTCTTACTGGGGGAACATGACTGGATCCAGATGCAACATGAACAGTCACTGGCAGAGTGGAGTCTACTGGTGTGAGTCTGAAACAGGACAGTTCAGCAATGCAGTCAACATCACTATACAGTGTGAGTCTTAATTCATTTACAAGATTTTGTTTCTGGAGTATTTTAACATTCTGTTACATAGTTTTGAAAATCTGAAGGTGACTAACATTATACAAACTGATTTTCAAAATGAGTGAAACTTGATGACCTTTAAAAGAGCTCATCAGCTTTAGTTCATTCAAGTGTCGGTTCTTCATATCATCCAAGATATTGTCAGATGGATTTTATTGCTCATTGTCACCTTTATGGCAATAATCATCTACCATTAATTTTATACTTTAAGTACCAGAGTTTTGAAGCTCTACCAGTCTGTAGCACACTGCCACAAAATCCACATTGGCTGCCAACAAATACCAATAATAATGAATGTTAATGTGTGAATACATTAATTAGGGCCCGAGCACCTAGCGGTGCGAGGACCCTATTGAAATGCAAGGATTTTTTATTATTATTCTTCTTCCTCCAAATGAATTGCCTTTTTGGGAGGCTTAACATACCCGAAAACTCATGAAACTTTGCAGATATATCAGAACTGGTGAAAAATTTGATATTTTAAGGGTCTCGTTCGCAGGTTCCAAAAAATGGCTCAGTAGCGCCCCCTACAAAAGTTTGAGGAAACAGCCCCTGAAGCTAGTTTAACCTACATGTATGAAACTTGGCAGGCTTGTGTAACCCTCCGAGACAGACAAAAAAGCCTCTTGGAGGCATGCTCTAAACCCAACAGGAAGTCGGCCATTTTGAATTTACTGTGCAATTTTGGTGCATTTTTGGCCATTTCCAGGGGTCATAAATGAACGAACTAGTCCTAGAGATTTCATCTGATCGACTTCAATCCTTGGTGTGTCCCACCCCAAGACCTTGAAGATGAAAAGTTATCAACAGCTTGAGTTTTCATCAATGCCTGTGACCGTGGGATGGCGTCAAAGTTAGGGGTCTCGCCACTAAACAGGAAGTAGTTTATAACTCCAGCATACATGGTCCAATATTTCCCAGACTTCACAGGATTGATGCCAGTCCCGCCCTGAACACATCTACATGTCAATAATCAGAGATAAATATAGCGCCCCCTACTGGCAACAGGAAATGTCATGTTTTAGACTTTAATGTACATCCCCTACAGAATTGACCAGATCCATCTCAAACTTGGTGAAAAAAGTCATAAGACGTTGATGACGCTTTATTGTGGAAACTGTGAGTTTTCGTCGAAGGGCGTGGCCATGGCCTGGCGGCGAACTTTGATGTTTCGCCATGATGATAAACTTTGCTGTAACTTGACTCCACGTGGGAATATCTTGCCAAAACTTCACACATATGATGACAGTCCAGCCCTGAACACATCTACAGAGGAATTTTGAATCACTGCCATAGCACCATCTACTGGCAACAGAAAGTTACTTTATACATTCTTTGATGTCCCTCTTCTAGCAGGTTAATCAGACCCACCTCAAACTTGCTGGTCTAAGTCCTTAGACCTTGATGATACTTAAAAATGAAACTTTGGAGTTTTCATCAAACGCTGTCACCGTGGCGCCGCCTTGTTCGCCATCAAACACGATGTTGTTTTGAAGGGACAAGGGATGCTTGAAAACTCACCAAACGTGGCATACACATCACAGGTCGCAAATCCTATTGTCTGATGTGATTTTTGTGCTTTGATGCACCAAGATGGCTCAACAGCGCCCCCTAGAATCTTTCAATTAAGCAGCCCCCAAAGCCGGTTTGACCTGCATGTATGAAACTTGGTAGGCACCTGTAACACTCTATCACGTACAAAAAAGCTTCTTGGAGCCATGCTCCAAACCCAACAGGAAGTCCGCCATTTTGAATTTACTTGTGCCACTTTTGTGCATTTTTGCCCATTTCCAGGGCTTGTAAATTAACGAACTAGTCCTACAGATTTAATCAGATTGGCTCCAAACTTGGTGTATGTAAGCGTGACTATGTTGTGACCAAAAGTTATCACAGGATTTGCCCAATGTTGAATGGTGCGCCCGTTGCCGAGCGTTGAATCTTGAGGTCTCGCCATGAAAAACGAAATTGCTGTAGCTTTGGTATAAATGGTCCAATCTCCACCAAACTTCACATGATTCATATTAGTCCTGCCCTGAACACATTAACATAACCATATTTCCTGATACTCATAGTGCCACCTAGTGGTGACAGGAAATAGGTCTCATCAAACAGTTATGATTTGATTTATCTGATAGTTACATATTGTGGTGTGTGTTTTTATGTATAAAAACATGATGTATAATTAGTGCACACTCCAACTCCCCCTAGTGGAAAGAGGAAGTGATACAAAATGTGAAATATGTCATTCCAGCACTTTAACAAGAATAGGCCAAGTTGCTCCAGCATGCAATGTCTAACTTTGACAGAAATGAACTGAAGCATCAGAAGGCGTCCTGCCAGCCCCCCCCCCCCCCAAACCCCCCGAGTTGCATGAAGGTGCGAGGGCCCGTTCATCGCTGCTTGCAGCTTTAATATATTATTATAGCTGTAATTAACAGAGAAATCAAACAGCTCGCACACTGCAGGGCTCCAATGCTCAGTTGAAATGTATTCAGGTAAGTAACGTTTCGAGCGTGAGGCTCTTCATCAGACTTTTTTAAGACAAAGGGTGCTGCCATCTTAAATACACACATGACGTGGTCACATGATGCAATGATGTCGTTTGTGCCACGACGAGGTCCGCTGACCAGGACGGTATTCATACACTGTACAAGTTACAAGAAAAAGAAGTGCGCCAGTTTTTGCATGCCGTCACAGTGATTACATGAGAGTGAAAAGAATTCCTCGGGGACTACGACTTGTTAAGAGCCCAATAATAGGCAGAGACAATGACACATTCGTCAGCCGCTGGTGTGAAATTTTAAATAAATGCTCCTTCGACCTCAAGGCGCTGACAATCCAGGAGCTGTCCTCCCAGCTGAAAAAGACCAGAGACGAAGTAAGTGAACTCAAACATCAACTTCTGTCTAAGTCTCCTGACAAAGATGACATGGCGCAACTTCTACAAGAATGTGAACATAGAAAAGTACAGCTACAACAAGAACTCACTGAATTCAAAAAGAAAAAGTTTGACCGTGACACTTGGTGCCACAACACCTAGTCGTGGCACCAAGTGCAATGATGTCATGGCACCAAAGACATCATTGCATCATGTGACCACGTCATGTGTGTAGTTAATATGGCGGCACCCTTTGTCTTAAAAAAGTCTGATGAAGAGCCTGATGCTCGAATGCTAAATTTCGACTGAGCATTGGAGCCCTGCAGTGTGCCAGCTGTTTGATTTCTCTGTTGTTTGCATCGTTTTCGGCTCAGCACCTGCCCTTCTTCCGGTTTGGATGTGCATGTGTTTTTCTTTGTTTGTGTATAGCTGTAATTAAACCACGTA